CATTGAGATTCGATGGGCATTTGACAAGCTGCAAGCTGTGATAAGCACATATTGGCACCAATGAACCCTCAAGTCTCTTGCTCAGCAACAAACCACACCCAATTGCCATAGGCATTAAACCAAAGAATAGGAATGAACAGTGCAGAATTCTCACTCGGAGACTCTCCCAGTTGTCTTCCAGCAGTAGCAAATCAGTACCAAGCCTCCAGCGGACATCGTGACATTAAAATAAAATAAATCTCACATAAAAACATACAGTACAGCATCAAATCCCATTTTAAAGGTGTGTGGTTTGAGTAGTTTTTAGTAGTGGATGTTTTTTGAAAATGTAAACTTCTTGGCTTCACAAATACAAAGAAAGGCTGAATTGTAGTGGAGGAAAAAGCTGGCAAGTGTTACTGCCTCTCCTGCAGAGAAAATAGATAACTCGGGTAATATTCACCAAACTTAATCTGTTCTGGAAGTCTGTTTGACTTCCGAAATGTTCAAAAATCAAGGCGTGGCTTCTGATTGGTGCAGGCGCCCCGGAAACAATAGCTGACAACCGCATCAGAAGTTCAGCTTCCGAAAAATGTTCAAAAACCAGAACACTTACTTCCTGGTTTTCGGCGTTTGGGAACCGAAGCGTTTGAGAACCAAGGGACCACTGTACTGGCTTATTTATCCATTCCAGGAGCTATTTCCAAGCAACTCTTGCTCGTTTTAAAAGGTTCATTTCAGCTTATGTCAAGATTCTCTATCACAAGAAGAGCTATTAGACTAATATTTCACATTAATAGCTAGCCAATTAAGCAGCTGTGTGCGCCTGTGATCATTTCTGGAGCTCTCTGTGAAATTCACTTCTATATTTTTTCATTACTAGCGGAGGGGTAGCAAGAATAAATGCTTTCAGCCTCCCAGGCTTGCTCAGATAAATGCAAGAAGGAGCTCATTCAGTTTTTCAGGTGTCGATCTCCCCCAATGAGACATCAGAGAAAATTATTAACCGCCACCCAGAAGTGAGCTAGGAATTGTTCCCATGTGGGTGTATAACAAAGTGATCTGATCTGTTCTTAGATTTTTATTTTCCTTCTTAAAAACAAAACAAAAAGTAGCTCGTCCCTCCTGAACTGTATATAAAAAGGGCGACACTACGTTGTTTGGATGGGAGGATTCTAGAAAGAAAAAATTTTGAATGGAGACATCCCGAATGACAAAATTACTATTTTCTTATACGCGACAACAGCAGCGAGAATGTTGATAGCCAATAACTGGAAAGGAAATTATATTCCAATCAAAGAAGAATGGCTGAATAAATTATGTAAATACTTGGAACTGGCAAAGTTGACTGATTTGATAAGACAAAAACCAAAAAATATAATCCAGAAACAATGGAAATGCTTAAATGAGTATTTATGTAGACAAGGATTAAATGTAAGGTATTGGTTGTGTTTGGAATAGATTTATGAGAGATTTAGAAAACTTATTGATTAGAATATTGTGTGAGTTTGTATGGGGAAAATACGGAATAACAGATACAATCTTGCTTAAAATGTATATAGGAAGTGCAGTGTAAGCGATGGAAGTCAATCAATGAAATTTTATTATTATTTTCATATTGAGATATTTGTAGAATAAACTTGGGAGAAATTCTTCCAACTTTTCTTCTTTTTTTCTCTATTTTTTTCTTTTCTTATTTTTCTCTCTTTTGTTCCTTTTTTCATGTATATGTGCTTATTTGAAATATATATATGTATGTATGTATGTGTGTATGTATGTACAATATTTTGCTTATATTTTGCAACAATTATGTTAAATAAACAATAAAATTATTAATGTTGTTGTTGTTTAGTCATTTAGTCGTGTCCGACTCTTCTTGACCCCATAGACCAGAGCACGCCAGGCACTCCTGTCTTCCACTGCCTCCAGCAGTTTGGTCAAACTCATGCTGGTAGCTTCAAGAATACTATCCAACCATCTCATCCTCTGTCGTCCCCTTCTCCTTGTGCCCTCCATCTTTCCCAACATCAGGGTCTTTTCCAGGGAGTCTTCTCTTCTCATGAGGTGGCCAAAGTACTGGAGCCTCAGCTTCAGGATCTGTCCTTCCAGTGAGCACTCAGGGCTGATTTCCTTCAGAATGGACAGGTTTGATCTTCTTGCAGTCCATGGGACTCTCAACAGTCTCCAACACCATAATTCAAAAGCGTCAATTCTTTGGCGATCAGCCTTCTTTATGGTCCAGCTCTCACTTCCATACATCACTACTGGAAATTTATTAATAGGTAGCAGTAAAAAACAAAACAAAAAAAAATAGAAACAAAAACTTAAGTCAGCTTGGCATTGCCATATTTTGTGATTTTAGGTATATAAGCTCATTATGCCAGGAGAATGGGGCTGTTTCAGAGGTGGTGAATCTAGCTCAAAGCTCTCATGAGCTTTCATTCATGCACACTAAAGTATAACCTCCCTATGTGTGAGTGCAGAGAGCCATCACTATTCACTGACTCACTCCGTCAAACTAGAGATAATTCACCAAGCCCTCTGCTTTAGAGACAGTACTTTTTCATCTACTGCCTTTGTCCAAAGAACAAAAATCACCTCCAATTTCAATCCTTTCCCAGTGGATATGAAGCTTGTTAAAATCCAGTCTTTGCCCTTTTCAAAGGAACAGTATTTTGCATTTTCTCCCACTGCCTGATATTCTACATATCTGCACTTGTGCCATGGTTCCAGCTAGACATTCTCGCTTCCATTACCTTCTCGTCTTCAACGCACTTCTAAGCCAATGCCCTCATTGGGACTAAAATAATAATAATCCTCCAACATTTCTCCAGTGAAAATAGGGATGGCCTATTCTATAATAACAATAATTTTATTTATACCCTGCCCATCTGGCTGGGCTTCCCCAGCCACTCTGAGCAGCTCCCAACAGAATATTAAAAACAAAATAAAACATCAAACAGTAAAAGCTTCCCTAAAGAGGGCTGCCTTCAGGTGTCTTCTAAAAATCAGAGAGTTGTTTATTTACTTGACATCTAATAGGAGGGCATTCCACACAGGGCTGGCGCCACCACCGAGAAGGCCCTCTGCCTGGTTCCCTGTAACCTCGCCTCTCGCAGTGAGGGAACAGTTTAAGAATCTCTTTGGCTGCAGTTCCGAGATCATTTCTATCCATTTCTGGAGCTAAGAGGATAGCATTGCATTATGAAAACGACACCACCCAAACCTGACCCACAGAAATTGGGCTTCTACAATTTGCTGCCTGCTCCAACCTCCCCATTTCACAAGCAGAGAGGCACTTGAATCTTACTTCAGCACTGAAAATGGGACAGCATCCTCCAGTACACTAGAGGGCAGCAGGTTAGCCTAGGAGGTGCAGGGCAGATTGTGTGGCACACACAGCTCGGTCTGCTCCTCACCCCATAACATCTGCCACCTGATCTCACTTTGCCTAAGGGGAGGGCTGGCCCTGAACAGAAATAAGCCACAATTGTTCTCACCACGGCCAAAGGGCTCATCATCAGCCTCTCTATCTGCCCTTTGACAACTTCAATGGTTAGAGTACAGTCTTACCTTGAAAGTCAAACGGAATCCGTTCCGGAAGTCCATTTGACTTCCAAAGCATTCAGAAACCAAAGCGCAGCTTCTGATTGGCTGCAGGAAGCTCCTGCAACCAATCAGAAGCCGCAGAAGCCCCATCGGACATTCGGGTTCCAAAAGAACGTTCAAAAACCAGAACACTCAGTTCCGGATTTCAATCGTTCGGGAGCCGGTTTTTTTTCAGGAGCCAAAGCATTCGAGATCCAACTATACGACTGTATAAGGAAAAAGGATTGTGTTCTGCTGAGCCCAGATTTCCTGAAGCTGCTCTTGGGCCAATTCAAGATTCCTTGAAAACAGGTGCCCTGGTTCTGCACTTCTGGGCAATTCAAGATGGCCTTTGAAGGAGCGTCTCTACCCCCATCGTTCTACCCGGACAATGAGGTCCAGCGCCGAGGGCCTTCTAGCGGTTCCCTCACTGCGGTTCCCTCACTGCAAGAAGCCAAGTTACAGGGAACCAGGCAGAGGGCCTTCTCAGTAGTGGCACCTGCCCTGTGGAATGCCCTCCCACTAGATGTCAAAAAGAACAACAACTACCAGACTTTTAGAAGACATCTGAAGGCAGCCCTGTTTAGGGAAACTTTTAATATTTGATATAAAAATTGGAGTATAGAAGAATATGCAGCAATATGTTTAAAATGGGACTCCATGAAAGGGGTGGGAGGAAGTCCTGAGCATAGCTGTCAACTTTTCCCTTTTCTTGCGAGGAATCCTATTCGGAATAAGGGAATTTCCCTTAAAAAAGGGAAAAGTTGACAGCTGTGGTCCTGAGATTTGGAGGAATCTCTTTATATGGATATGGTTTTCGTTTTTGTGTGTGTATAACTTCGTATTTGTAAAACCAAATGACAGGTAGGTAGGTAGGTAGGTAGGTCTATCTACCTACCATCATCATCTATCTACTTCAAGATTGACTCTGGACTGTATCCTGACTGCTGAACTTCTAACTTGACTTACTTGGACTGACCCTGGACTGCGTTTCCTGATCTTTGGACTTTCCTATTGTAGACTGGCCTCTGGACTTGTAACTTTGTCTGTCTGCCAGGTAGGTCAGGGGATCAGGACATTTGCTCGGCTCGGCTCCGTTTCTAAGGGCAAATATTTTCCTAATCCCAGGAGTTCATTCAAGTTTCCATAGTTTGAACACCGTAGAATAAACGCTGCGTCTACCACCTGCAGTCAGTTGGATACTTGTGGGATGATCATGGCTGCTTCACTCAAGCAGGCCCAAGTGCAACTCACAAGAGGTTGTGGAGGAGCATGGCTTGCTGCCCTGTTACAACCTGCAAGCCATGTTTCCTGTAATCTCATCACGTTGCTCACAAATCGCTCTGTTGCCCTGGGAAGGAGCTATAGGCTCTGTATTATCTCCAAATACATGTATTGCCTCTTTTTCCAAGTTGTGTTTCCAACGGATCAGTTACCCAGTGTGGGGCTCGAACTCTTGACCCTGATATTCAGAGTCTTATGCTCTACCAACTGAGCTATCCATTATCTCCTAGGCTCTGCATTATGAGTTGAAATGACTTGCAGGTGCATGAGTCATCCTTAAGAATTTAGACACCTGCAAAGCCTTGGTGGTTTTTGGTGATTCAGAAAGCAGTTTAACCTGATTTAATTCAACCAAGCAAGAGTCCTGTCTGGGCTCCAGATTCTCCTGTTTCTCTGAACAGTATTGGAATCCACCTTTGGCACATGCAGTCTAAGCCATATAGAACAACAGTGGTACCTTGGTTCCCAAACCCCGGAAGTAAGTGTTCCAGTTTTCGAACGTTTTTCGGAATGTTCGAAAACGTGCGGTGACTGCACCACTTCAGTACGGCTGTCGGCTATTCTTCCTGGGGTGCCTACACCACTTAGAAGCTGCGCCTTGGTTTTTGAACATTTTGGAAGTCAAACGGACTTCCGGAACAGATTAAGTTTGGCATTTTGTTTTTGCTCTTTATTTTGCGTTTTTGTTTTTGAGGCTTTTCCTGTTAATTTGTTTTTATGATTCATTTTATGGATCAAAGGCCTCGTTCGAGAACCAAGGTACCACTGTATTTGCTGCTTTTGTTTTTGCTCTTTATTTTGCGTTTTTGTTTTTGAGGCTTTTTTGGTTCATTTGTTTTTGTGACTGTGTGGACCCCAGTTCAGCTACTGATTGATTGATGGCATGACTGCGGAAATGGATAAAAGCCCCCCATCCAAACAATGACTATCATCAGTGCAGGTAAAAAATAATAATAATTTTAATTTTTATCATCTACAACACTGTCTTAATTAGATAATACAGTACATTGATTATTGCTTACATTTTATGGATCAATGGTATCGTTAGGTAGTAAAATTTATGTTGAATTGCTGTTTTAGGGGTTGTTTTTAAAAGTCTGGAATGGATTAATCTGTTTTGCATTACTTTCTATGGGAAAGCGTGCCTTGTTTTTTGGAACACTTTGGTTTTGGAACGGACTTCTGGAACGGATTAAGATTGAGAACCAAGGTACATGCATTTATCTTGAGTAGTCTTACTGAAATATAGTGGGATTATTCGATTGTCCAATGGAGGAGGGCACTTAACATGCCAAAATATCAACTCACACAGGAGTTTTTTCTGGCACAAGGTTTGTTGAGCTGCATGAAAGGGTAACAACGCGCTTGTACAGTTCCCATTCATTCCCAGAGATCTTGTACAGGAAAATGTCCTGCCAGATTACGCTCCACATGTATTTTGCTGCAACAATTTTCCTGCTCCCCGGGGCTAAATAGAAAAACACTGTCCATTTGGACACTTTTTATTTAAAGTCCAATGAAATAAGCTTTTGGCTTTACAGCGTCGGCCAGAGCTGTTGGGTAGCTGTCATTTGCTTCTGTATATTTTAATTAGAGCAAAGATGCTTTTCTTCCAAGGCTTGTCAGCAGCTGCAATCACTGTCAGCCACAGAGCCAGCTGCTTGCCTGCAAATATACAACCCTACACCTTGCAGGGAATATTACATGTTCCGTTTTACAAGGCACAGCAGATGACAGGAAGCAGCCATCTAAAGCTTTCTGGACGTACCATTTCTGAGGCAATGCAGGAAATAACAAAACAGCACTAAAAACATGACGCCCCATCCTCAAATCCATAGATTGTTAAAAACTATTCATTCCTAATACCTTTATAAAAAGGAAGTAGTAGCCTAAAATACAGTGGAACCTTGGTTTTTGAACATCTCGGAAGGCGAACGATTCGGAACCCAAACGCCAAAAACCCCAGAAGTGAATGCTTCCATTTCGAACATGGAAATGGAATTCTGGAATGGATTACGATCGCCAACCAAGGTTCCACTGTATAGCCTACCAAAAAGGCTCTCTTCCTGGGTCCTGCTAAACCTATTTCTGGGGATGTTGAGGGACACAAGAGCTCTTCCAAAGTTCTCAGTAGGCAGGCAGATTTGGACAGGAGAAGGTGGTGCTTAAAATATCCCAGATCCAAACCATTCAGACATTCAAATAATAATAATAATAATATCTATTATTTATACCCTGCCCATCTGGCTGGGTTTCCCCAGCCACTCTGGGCGGCTTCCAACCGAGTATTAAAAACAATACAGCGTCAGACATTAAAAACTTTCCTAAACAGGGCCGCCTTAAGTTGTCTTTTAAAAGTACAGTGGTACCTCGGGTTAAGTACTTAATTCGTTCTGGAGGTCCGTTCTGGAGGTCCGTTCACTTTAGCTAATGGGGCCTCCTGCTGCCTGTGGACAAACGTTGGCTCCCTTGGCCTGAAAGCGAGATGAGCACCGCAACTCCATCGTCACCTTTGACTGGACTTAACCGTCCCGGGGTCCTTTACCTTTTTCGTACCCACAGGTGAGATACATACAAAGACAGACAGACAGACAGACAGACACACAGTTGAAATGCATTCATAAACGTATTTTGTTTGCTCATTACAAATATCCCTTTCCTTCCATCGTGGAACTCATACATTTCCAGGCTATCTCCCAGCCATGCACTAAGCAGACCTCAACCTGCTTAGCTTCAGCAAGATGGCTGAATGGGGTGGCCTTAGACCAGGCCCTGAAGCCAAGTTCAGAGAACCTCAGGGCATCCATCTGTGACAAAAATGGCTGATAATGTATTTCAGGGGAACCACAAGACTGAGTACTTCCAGAAGTCCCCCGTCTCACCTCCCAATGTCTTGAAAAGGCTGAGAAACACAAACTCCAACACAAGCAGAGAAAGAAAGAACTGTCTGTGTAGTCTGAAGGAAAACAGGCACATTTGGTAGCATCAAAGCATTTTTAGGGTTTATTTTATTTAAATAAAAATTATAATTTATACCAAGACCCCCCCTCCCCTTCTTTTTTTTCTTTAAACAAGTGTCTTTAAAAAATGTACAGGGCAATTTATTTTTTTAAGTTCAATTTCTCATACAGTACAAGTCTCCTCTTGAACAAAAGTTACACTGCTAATGAAATATTTACAACTTCAAAATATAGACTCAAACCTCAGACATAAAAATTATTTCACATCCATTCTATTTAATGATTAGTAGCAGAAATAAAAAAATATCTGCCAAAAATGTACATCGTTCATTATAAACTACCAAGTTTGTTTGATTTAAGGGTTTGTAAATGTTCCTATCTCTCCAGCGCTTCCTCACTCGGTCTGCAGAACTCATCGTGAATTGGTTTTTGCTGGATTTTTGTGCGATGTTGCTACATAATTCGTCCAAAGTCGAATCTCGCCTCGCAAAACTAACACATGTAATAAAACTTCCGTTTCTGGCAATTTTAGAAAGGGAAGATAAAATGTGATCAGCTTTCATCTGCCTTTATCTTGAGAAAGGTTCTCAAACTTGATCACTTCCAAAAAAAAGAGAGAAAAAGTTACCTAATTAAATACAAATATTCACCAATAAGCCACAGATAGAGTCAGAACAACACATATTGATACAGCAAATTTATGAAGAGTGGTTTTAAAAAAATGTTGCTGAAAAATAATACTTCACATTCAGTCGCCCTACTGAACCTAAATTCAGTTGGACTATACCGCAAATCCCATGGAAGGAGATGAATTCAGACCAAACCTAAGAGTGGTTACATCAATACAGAATAGCCTGGCAAATGCTCAACATTTCAGGACATAGGAAATAAAAAGCAGTTAAGGTATTCAAGTCTGCCGAAGTTATTTTTAGGTTATTGTAACTAATGGCCTATCACACGGACGTAGCAGTTAAATTTGCAGTAGTTCTGTGTAATGCCAAGTTGGATTTTGCAAAAGTATATGCATGTCTGCCCACCTTATCGCAGATTTGATCTGTAAATATCCAGTTCATTTGCTTGATAATGGAATGAACCCTTTGCAAAATACATTACTACCATAGCATTTTTTTAAAAAAAGTTTGCATTGTTAAAAGTGCAGACTGTTTCGAACAAACCTGTATTAGTAGTATCACAGCAGAGAGGGGAAACTAAAATTTAAAAACTACAACATACTGGCATTTCATTTTCATTGTTCTATTCTGAAAACGTAAGGGGCTGATTGTGGCATTATCAATACATCACAGCCGGACAGGACTTCAAAAAACCACATTCTAGAACAATACTTCAGTCGGCCACAACTGGGAGGGGTTCACCAGAACCAGTACTTTCATGATCAGAGTGAAGGTAAAAATTACATTTGAAAATGATACAAAAATAAGAAAAACAGCTCACTCTGTATAAAATATAATCTGTTTTTCAAAAAACAAGAACTTCATGAACACCCAAGGGATCTGCTTTTGTTGAAAAGACAACTCAATATTCTACAATTCTGATTTAATGCTTATTTTACCCATCTTTTCATCAACTTGTTTACCTGCTGAGCTGATGCTTGACAAAACCCTCACATTAAAGTCCAACTGCTGTTATGTCCATGTTCCTTCAACTGGTTTCAAAGGGTATACAACCTACTTGCTCAAAAAAAAAAGTATATGAATTGCCAATTGCCTTTTTAAAAAAAATGAAGTTGTGTTGGGCCGAGAAACTTGGTGAAACTGGAATACTGTGAATCTTGCATGGACATTTCGGATTCAGGACTGAATTAAACTTCCAAGTCTGCTTAAGTCCCTTTGAGTAAAGGAGGAGTTTTGCAATTGAAGAAAAGTGTGTTTTGCAAAATCCTGCCACTGCTATTTCCCTTGCAAATTTATTCCTTCTAAAACAATGTGGAGAAAGCAGTTTTCTGCCCTAACAAAGCCTGAAGTCCACAGAAGCTCATTTTCCTGCGTCAAGTGTACTGTTTAATAACCAGAGCCCCTGTTGCCTTTTTAAAAAGAAAAATGAGTACAAGTTTTAGGATGCAGCAAACCGAGGTGTATGTGCTTAATCCTTTCCCCAATGGAACTGCTTCACCCTTTCCCTCCCACTGGGGTTCCAGTTATGTTTTTGCCCTTTGCCGATGAAGGACATGGGAGCTCACAGGGTAAGCAGCTGAGGAAATGATCATGAGATGGAAAATGAGAGTGCAGAAAGGGTTAAAGATGCCAAATTACTT